GACAGCCATGACCTTTGTCATTATGATGTTAGTGTTTTTCTCTTATACGTATCCATTTACCATTCACGCTCAAATTAATTCTAGTCTTTAGAAATTCCTTGCAAAGAGATAAAACATAGTGACTTTTTATGTTAATGGATGCTCAAATATGAATAAAAATATTGAGAGCTCAAGACTGAAAATTCTAATTTTCAAATTAGACATCCCAACAACACTTGCATAGTTTAGAGAAGGAATATAACAAACTCTTAGAGATAATACAATTTAATTCTTGGAGTTGCTACACTCAATTTAATTCTTGAGTTGCTACAAGAAAAGCAGAGTAGCTAATTAACCAGACATTCAAATTTTTAATTTTAAAAGCTATGTTAATAAAAATGATATAAACTTGAAAATAATGTAGTAAACTTTCATGCATATCCAACTTTTTATCCCAATCACAGACAAACATGTTTACATAATTTGGCTTAATATCTTTGGATAATCTTTGGATACATAGGGAAAAGCTGAAAGAAGAGATGTCACATGTTGAGACAAGGGCTTATTAGTGGAATTGTGTAAATATTTAGCAGATTACGTCTGATTACATTTACCTGCTTTGTGAGCATGATGCTTATTTGTTCAAAAAAGCTTTTATAAAGGTAGTAACCTAACATTCTCTAATATAAGCATACTTAATCTTACTTATATTAATCAAATGCTACTGGGAAATCCTAAAGCCTTTTTTTCTCATGCAGATTTAAAAAGTCCACGTATAGCACTAGTGAAAGTTTAAATTTATATTCACTTCCTAAGTGATCATGGGTTTAAATAAAAAATTCTCTGATTGCACGTGTATGTGTGGGGAAAGAAGATCATAAAGACGACTCAATTACAGAAACTATGGTGTCAGTCTGAATTTTAAGGCAGTAAAGGTTTCCTTTCCCAACTTCTTTGAGATCTTTAGTACAGTGAGTTGGAATAAAACAACTAAGAGGGGGCTTGGGGTTTTGTTTATGTAGAGAGAGCCAAAGAAACGTAGCGTGTACCAACAGATATTTTAGTTACAGTCTGGCAACTTCTGTATAAATGTAATCTTTTTACATGGTATACAGAAAAGATTGCTGAACCTTCATTAGAAAGAAAGAAGGAAAACTGCCATGGAGGAAGATTAATGCCTAATGATATAGCTAGAAGGCGAGAGTATTAGCTGAGACTAATGACTAGAGAGAAACGTCTTAGTGTTGGGCCGCCGTCAAAGTGGTGATAAGTACAAAGTAGTTGCAGAATGATAATCAATATTATTGTTAACTTTTCCTGAAGTACAGTCTCCTAAAACCTCTCTGAACTGATTCTGCCAAGTACTTCCCTGATTATAATTGTCTTCTGTAGTAACTTGCACACTTTAAAGAAGATAATTTCATTAAGCTGTATCACAATGTTGTTGTATGTTCTACATGTTGCATCATCTGTTAGTAGTACAGCAACATTCAAAGTTAGAAATAGAAATATTTTGTCATCCAACTTAGTGAACTGTTTCTGGTATGTTTTCTGAAAACGATATGACACACTGCAAAGTTAATTTTACAAGTTTAAAGTAAAAAACAAAACAAAACAAAACAACCACCTGCAGTACAAAGGATTATAAAGCCAATATTGTTATGAAATTAGAAACTGAGACAAATGTATATGCTCTTTTAGTTTAACAATTTCCATCTCACTGTATCATTGACAGGAGATAATTCCAGTTTTCTTAATAATATTCAGATATTCCTCTTGGAGTGTTTGTTTCTCCTAATAATGAAGGGATATTATTTTATTCACCAGTTGCTGCTTGCGGGGAGGCAGCATGGCAGTGGAGGAGATGACCACCTTGTCTTCTGTCCCACAGGTCATCCATAGAGCTCAAAGCACTGCAGCTAACAGCTGAGGGGATTTGTTGAACAATATCACTCTGTAATGGCAGTAGAACGTAAATACAAAACCTGTTCGAAGTAAATGGTATTACTGCTATTGATTTCACAGTCACTGCAGTCTAACTTTGCTTGTGGATTATTCACGTAGTGTGGTGTTGGTTTGCTTGGACAATATTTTATTTATATGGAGTTTCTGTGGTCTAAATACTCAGCAAGATAGTCACAGTCTTCATCACATACTCTGAAAGATGATGTGTTCACGTTGTTAACAACGTATTCAACTATCAGGTGCCTATCATAAAAACTTCAATTTAGAAAAGAAAAAAATATTTTTGTAAATTAAGCTTTCAACCAATGCTCTTTGCAAATAAAGAAGCTTATCTTTACTTAGGTTCTCCATAAACTGCCATGCTAATCACAGGATCAAGCCTGGTGTGTCAGGACCAGAGTAGGCCTTCAGTACATCCTACCATAACTTCACTTTTCTTTTTAAACACCCTAGGAAAGTCTAGACTTACACAGGTGCTTGCTAGTCTACTGTGGGACTGGAGGTCTCCTTCAGAGTGTTGGATGCTGTTTCAAAGCTCAGGACAGTGTAGCTGTATGTTTGAACACTGCAATTTACTGTGCTGTACGGCAAATGAGGAGCAGAATAAGGATAAAAAAAAATCCTGAAAGTTACATGTGCTCAGTTGCTATCTTGGAGTACAAGCTTTAAACAGTAAAGACAAATAATTATGTTCTGCATCCCCAGATTACAAAATATGAGCCACATTATCCAGTTTTAAAATGATTTAGGTTCTGTTCTTATGGGCATTATAATTTATCTTTAGCCAGATATTTTTAATATTTACTTAGGATGACACCATAAAGTGGGCATAATGTTCTAATCTCACAGTCCATTGTAACATACTTAGTTCCACTGTTTTAATTCCATTTGGCTTTGAATTTAGGTTAAAGTTCATAAACACCGTATTGCAGAATCTAAAAGCGAGACACAAAGATCTATCTTTGCGTTAGGGAGAGACTTATTTTAGTTTCAGCTCCCTGTGGGCACCAAACAGAGCGCAACAAAAACTAGAGGGAGCTGTTGTTCACAAAAAAAAAAATCTTTAAATCTCCATTATCCTTTATTTTGAAATAAATTAGAAAGATACTCTTTTCACCTGATTTAAAGGAAGCATACATATTCCCTGTATCAGGGACAAAGAAAAGGAAGAAAACATGATGATAAGCAAAAGATGGAATTTGTCTGTCTTCTGGTTTAAATGTATAGATATATTTTCATTCAGTTAGCAATGCACAAAACAGTCTTATTTCACTTTTTAAACAAATACCTTGATATACTATACACTGAAAATTAAAAATATTACAGATTTGATGAAGATGAACTAGTAGATTCATTCATTATGAGGCTAGTGAATTAGCTCAGTAACTACCAAAAAAAAAAAAAAAAGCGTATTAAACAAAACGAAATGTTTCTTCTGGAAATAGCTATTAAATAATGCAAACAAACTGAATCCTCACCAAATAGTTTCAAAGTTAGATAAATTGAAATATCTGTAGGGTAAACTTGTTTTCATTAAAAGCTGCATGAATGTAAAAGAATTATCATGTAATATAATACATGACATACGTACAAGCCAAATATATTTGTTGGCACAAAAGTCATGTGGCAGATTGAAATAAAACACCCACATATTTTAGGGGCTGCCTGGTAAGACTGTTGTGAAACTTGTCAGTCATCAGATCATTTTGGACCACTGTCTTCATTCTATTCTAATTGTAAAACAACTGTGAATTTGCTCAGTTCACCACCCTTTCCTGTGAAAGACTGAGGAAACATAACATTGTATGTTGACACAGTCCTTTAGGAAAAATAGGCTCGAACTACCAGATACTCAGCCAAGGTGGTTTCACTTGCTCGTTTCTCTAGAACTAAGTTCAGTTACACTAGAATGCTTCCTCAAAGTTCTCAATCCATAGAACTCCACGAAATAGCATTTGCAAATATTTCTTTACTTCTTACTGGAGAATCTATCTTCATGGACCCGAAAGAGGCTTTAAAGAGATTAGTGGCCTAATTATGAAATTTGTATTTTATTAAATTGTAAAATTATCATCTTTGAACATTTATGCATTAAATATCAATCTGGTTGTTGCCAGTGTGTAAATAGAACAACAAACTTGCTGCATCTCTCTTTTCAGCCCTGTGCACATTGCATACAAAGAAAATATTTCCAGTCAAGCTACATGAATAGATGATTGGTATTTAGCAAATAATTTACGCCATGAGTGATGTTTTCCTCAATGAGCTTGTGTATTGTGTGCTAAACAGACAGGTGGCCTTAATCCGTCCTACACCCAAATGAATACCAGCAATACTGCTTTACTTGGGAGCCACCCACGTGAATTTAAACAAAATTAAGGGGCTGACCAGTGGCAAGAAAAGATCATCTATGTAAAGAATTGTCTTGAGTTGTCTTGAGTTCTGTAATTGATTGTTGCTCAAACACACCCCTAAAAACAACAAAAGCCTTTTCAAGTGCAGTTTAGGGGAGTCATTGAGAAGACAAAGGGTGCATCTGCAGTAGCTTTTTGTCCAGGCTTAAGACTTGTACTTCTGGAACAACTCCGTAGTCTCCACTAACTGTGGAGCAGACTGGGACAGCACATACTAAAATTCCTTTTGGATGAAGCTTGACTGGAAGACAGACTCCAGCTGGTAATTAGTATTCATCCATATGACCAGCCAAGCGATAGTCAGAAGTGGAACCTCCTAAAATGTGTATAATGTGGATGTCAGGTCCTTGGCTTCAACTCTTACTCTGCTTCTGTTGAGCTGCATTACTGTCTGATGAAGACGTTAGCCAGAGAGTAGTCTCAGATGGTATAATGAACTTTCAGGAAGCTAGGGCCCATCACAAACCCTTTACTGACCCAACAATAACACTTGAATGCACTTTTTTGGCTTGGTCTTCTCTACTATGGATGTGTAGTACTACAGATTTATTTTTTTTTTATTTTGTGGGGGGGGAGGGGGAAGGTAAAACCAAAGCATGCAGTGTGTTATTTTCTCACTGGAAAGATGATGGGGGAAAAAGAGAGTCAAATAATAATTGTTCATTATTTTGTTCATGTAGTACACTGATGATGGCAGTATAACAACCAGAATAGATGTGAGGTTGGTAATTGAGCAGCATATTCAAATTACTATCAGAAATATGTATCGAAAACTGAATATAACTATTGCAAAAGCAGTGTCACTTAAAAGAAAAAGTGTATGGGAGAGGTGTGCACACAGCCGAAACAGTCGCCCATTGCATGTTTTAATGTTTGCCAAGTTCATGGAAGATCACTTTGCTTTGTAGAATAGGAAAGCCTGAATGCAGCCAAGTCAAAGTAATATCCGCTGCATTTGCCAGTACTGTGCATGTTAGGGAAAGACTCTGACCTAAATGTAATGACCTGATTTGAGAACAAACCCAACCACATAAGAGAATGTTTACTCTATAGACTTAATTTCACATTGTAGAAGACAGATTTTTTTCCATATCTGAAACTCTGTGACTCACACTCTCTCTGGGGACTGCATCCATATTTTCTGCTATAACACAGGAAGCATGGAAGCAACATCCCATCTTTTTACTAGTATTTAGAAAGTTCACTTATGCTGTAGGAGAACTGGATTTGTTTCCCCTTCACATGAATGCTCTAGCTACTAAACTGTTGTCTCCAGTGGGAAGGTTCCTGAGGCTTTCTCACCTACAGCATTTATTTTGCATGAGTGTGAACAAATACTGGTAAGGAGGAAGTCCATGCAGTTGTGATCTTGCTGTTGGGGACTGGCAAAGTATCACAGGGATCTAAGTTCAGAACGGCTCTTAGTGAAGCAGACTGGAACCAAGATTTCCTCCAACTTTTTCTGCCTCATTGAAGTTTCATCCTTGAAACTCCTTTACCCAGACGTGTAGGCTACGGGGAATATGTAATGTCTGTAGCTCTTGAGAGTGCTCAGGCATGAGTGAGAAATCTAACTGTACTCAGTGCCTGAGTTCCAGCTGGGCATGGCTAGTTTTGCTCTCCTGGGAACCTGACTAGAAAATTTAGCAGTTCTTGACTTTTATTCTCTGGATTCCTAGCTGGTAAATCAATAAATAAAATGTTGATTTCCTTTATTAAAAAACAAGCCAACAAACAAACAAAACCCACCCAACAACAAAAAAACACCTCCAAAAAACCACCTCCCTGTGTTAATATGCTTTGACTGTTTTTCTAATGCTTAAAGTGTATCACAGAACTTTTGGGGTATTTTGGATTAAGACAAGAGTTCAATGGAACTACCAAATGGTGTTTTGGAAAACAGATTAACCTTTGTGATGAGCCATGTCTGTTTTGAGAAATATCATACTCTGATGAGAGATGCAGCACTACATTTTCATGTTTAATACATTTTAACTCTGAGAATATCCTTATGGAGATGACAGCAAATGGAAAACAGACTATGAACAGCAATAAGCACAGATATCCTGATCTCAGCATATTAAAGTTATCTGGGAAATAGCACGACAATTGCAGCAGCAGACTCTGTTCTTATGATGTTCTTAGGAAATTGGGTACCTGGTGAGATACAGTCATCAGATGTGGTAGGTTGTAGCTGATCCTCCTACACGTGGATTAAGCAAGTGGAAGTTTTGGCTGAGGGAGAAGCAATTCAGTTGGCAACTCAACCCGTTTATGGCCATCAATTTTTGAGATGGCATTAACTTTTACTCATTGGGCTCCTTTGTGCATTTTCTAGCACTGGTATAAGATTTCCCTAGATTTCTATAAGGTGAAGACCTCTCTGAGACCAGAGAATTTCCCTACCTTATTTTGAATCACTAAGGAATCTATTTTTCTGTAATTTCTACACTGTGAAATGTTATAAACTGGTGGCTGGGAAGACTTGCACAAAACTTGCATTAATGCACTTCCGAGTTCAACAGCCCCCTCCTTGTTTTCAGTTACACTCAAACAAAAAAATGCTTGCTTTTCCTTTAGAGAAAGGCAAATATTAACACAGCTTAGTATGATATAATTATTGGTCTTTGTCACCTGGAAAAGTCAAGAACAGTTTTTGGTGTGTGCTATACTGTTGAAGAACTTTGGATTTAATTTTTTTAATTTTTTTTAAACTAGTTTTATAAAGGAACCAGTCCATGTGTGACCATAGTGTTTTCCTTAATGTCAGTTCAGTCTTATTCCAAGTTTTGTATTATGGATGAGCAATTGTATAGGGTAGAATATTCAAAATAATTAAATTTCGATGAGTGTTGTTCCAACAGATGGCTATGGATGACTGAAAATTCATTAAAACCACACAGACAGTAGAATATCTGAGTTATCGGATGTCTTACACTAAAAATAAGTTCAAGCAGAAAAAAACAAACTTCTTTTGATGATCAGTGAGATCTCATCCCATGATGCTGCTATTATGAACTGCAGTTCTGGTCTGCAAGACGGTGAACAACTATTGAGTGAATAACATAATTTGGGGAGCTCTGCATGACTGCTGAATTACTGTGGTCCCTTGGACTTCTGTGAATCTACAAGCCATTACACAAGTACTTTTGCATCATGTAATGTACAACAGTTCCTTGTTTTACTGAGCATTAAGGGGTTTAAATGAATTTTATTTCTTCTTCATTCTGCTGTGGAAGCACAGTACAGCTTTGTCATGAACAAGAATCTGACCCCTCTAAGAAACTGAAAGATGCAGTGGGTGTAGGAACAGCTGAAAAATGTAGTTGTTAATTGAACTATTTTTTCTTAATTCAGTTCTTGTGGCTTTTTATTCTTTTTCTTTTGGATTTTTAAGGCAGGTGCTGTAAAATGGAATCTTTTGCATTGGCAGCTCTGTATGACCACAATGTAGATAGTTACCTGTGTGATGACTGGTATGCTTGATGGCCATAGCGTGTCATAACAACCTGTAGCAAAGATGGAACTTCAGATTTCCTTGCTTTGTTTTTCCCTTGTGTGGAGTTTTTGTTTCTTTCAGCTTGTTCTCTGTTCCGTTTCTGTAGTTTCAGACTTGCCTAAGGAGCAAAACACATTAGTTTCCTGGAATGAGAGAGATTTTTCTACGTTATGCACCTGGATGAGATGATCTCATGTCTGAGTGTTCAACATTCATATTCTTTGAGGTACATCACATGATAAAAGAGTTAATCCACTGAATGACTAAACCCGCCACTGACGGGAATAATTATCTGACCTAGTAATGCAGTAATCTTGGTAAATGTAAACAAAAAAACACTTCAGTGATTTATTGCATTCAAGGATGCCCATTGTTAAACCTGAAGATAAAATCTGTAAAACGAGGGGGCTAATGTTTTCCATGGAGTTTTCTATTCCTTTCTTACTTGTGTGGAAAACTCAGACAATAAAAAATGCTTTTATTTGTTTTCCAATTATTCTTACACCAAAATGCTGCAGAAGTACTGCTATCAATGCAAGTGGTCTTGCTGTGCAACTACAGAGTGGTCTTGATGATCAGTCTGATTGCGCAGCTGTTTGTGTTTTTCTTTTTTCTTGTTTTTTGATTTTCCTATTCTAATGCTGTCATCATTAGTTTGAGCAGGTAGAATGGCCACAAGCATTAGATTCACCTGCTTATGCCTATGAAAAAAGGAATCCCTGGCTAATATCAGCATCATACAGCAGCCTCTATCCTCCACAAATTTGGCATACTGGAATAAAGGGGGATAAAAGCAGCAGTGCCTTGCTGATATACACTCTGCTGTGTATAAAGCTGTCAGAGTGGCCTATAAAACCGAACTGTTACGTGCCAGAATCAGAAGCATTGTTCTGCCAACTGTAAAAGGTGTAAAGACACCTTCTGCTTCTGTCCTGTTAAACTTCCCCCAAGAGCTACTTGACCAGCCTGTAACACGTGACTGGAAATTCAGTGCCATACATCCCTACTTGACACTGAGCACACTGAGAATTTGCACAGTAAACAAACCCACACTTTCTCTATTACTGTGAGTATCCAACCAGAGTTAAATTTTAGTATACAATTGCTAGAAAAAGTATTCTAGAAGTTAAAAACCACTGTTTCTACCAATAGTCATAAAGCTAAAATACTGCTCGACTTAGAAAGCAAGTAAATTCTCATGGTTTGGGTCTGAAAGACATATATTTGTATGATGCATAATTTGTTTAGCCTTTGGACTAGGAGGACTTGCATCTGCATCCTAAAAGAAATGAATAAAAGAAAAAACTTTTTTTCTCAGGGGGTCTTTATTTTAATGTATGCTACAAAGTTTGCCCTTGTGGCATTTAGTCAGTAGTCTAGCTTCATCAGAACCAAGTGTTCCTGAAGTTAATGGAAACACTTAAATTTGATCTAAAGTCTTCAAGAAATGCTAATTCCTGCAACCCTTATTTACTTGCAAAACTTTCTGCCAAAAATTGTGCAATCAGACTCAGATTGCAAGTCCCTTAGAGATGAGCAATTGTTTGTGTAGAGTGAACAACCATAATGAAGTTGGTGGTAACAGGTACACCATCTCAAAAATATAAGTAATAGATTCGCAGTCTTGTCCATAAATATTACAGTTTACACCTGCTCAAGTGAGTAGACTTGCCTGCCAAAGAAACTATCTTAATTTATGGACTGGAGACAGATTGTATAGTGTGCTGTTTCTAACAAAAGCTCCTACGCTGCTCAGTTTTCCCCTCCTCCCCTTTAGGCTTTTAAATTATTGACAATAAGATAGCAGCTGCAAACAGATACATTTATTTCAGTATAGCAATATCATATTCCAGCAGTCTTTCTGGATGTTTCCTTTATTGCTTTAGTTTTCCCATTTTAGTTAGTTTAAAAATCTATTAAATTGTAACAAGTCAATGGAGTGACTGTACGAACAGCTTTGCAGAGTTCTAAATTTACTTGCAGTGACTCCACATCAAACTGGCCCAATCTGCAAATCAACAGATGATATAACTGCCATCTTTACAAATTTCGTCTTGGCTCTAAAATTCATTATGTGATCTCTCTGCCTCTTACATAATTACCAGTAATAAAGACTAGCATTCAGAATTTAGCTGAGAATTATTCTGATGATGCATGAAGCAGAAGAGGCTCCAGATGCTCTCTTGAATAGCTATCGTTGCTTAGTAAGCAATTAGGAGTAGTCACAGTCTTTTACTGTATTTAAACAGCAAGTGGGCTACTGGGGCCTAATCCTTATAAAGGCTTGTAAGTGGTACTGAAATGTTAATAATATTCTAAAGCCAAGAGTAGAAATTCCACTTGTGGTAGTGCAGTAAGTAGACATGACTTAAGGATACATTTGAAACGTATGCTAAAATATTAAAATATTATTAAGCCCTGCAGAAAATAAATGCAGAACAAAGATGCTGATGGAAATGTTGCTGCATGACTCTTTTTTTTTTTTTTAAACTAATGATATAAACTAATGAAACAAAAGTTATGTAATTCAGAAATAGCAATTTTAGATCTACTCTTAGACAATACAAAGAAAAAGTAGAAATAACGTTTAACATATGCTGCAGTCATCTCTTGCTTTTCTGTGCTGTTTTCTGGCCTACCTGAGATTCTGAATCTGTCCTGTATGGCATCTTGCTCAAATATCGTGCATTGCTGATGAACTTCTGAGGCTGTGCTTCATATCAGGTAACCAAAACCTGTACACAAAGCAAATATGTTTTCTTTTTTCCTTAGAGTTGATTCTACTAAAATGTAATGTTGTTTTGCTATTGGTGGCAAATTAAAGCTTTGACTTACCAATTCCAAACAGTTACAAAATTCCTTACTACTGTAAAAAAGTTTGGTCTATTCATTAATATGAAATTAGTGGCATTGGGATTCAACAGAGCATTAGTTTCATAGACAGGAAGCTAGGAATCTGATCACAGGAAACTTCAGTAATGTTGGGATATTGTCAGAATTTAAAGTACACTATGGACAGTATTAGTGTTCTTTCCTGAGCAATCTCTAGGCCCTATGGTAATTCATCAAGTTTTTACTAAAATAATAAAACATTCTAGGATTAGTACACTAACAGATGTCTTCAGCCTCACCACGGTAATACAGGGAGCAAGCTATGAGTACAGAGCCATAAAGTCCGCTTGCTTAGACTACTGTGTTCCTGCTTTATGGGATAATCCTACTTGTTTTTTTTCTTTTTTTTTTTTTTTTTTTCTTTTCTTTTTTTTCTCTTTACTCATTTTCACACTGTTCCTCTTCAGAGTGATAAACACAGCCTGGTATTTGTCATCCTGGACTGGATATAAAGATTGTTTTAAAAATATATTGTTATGCCAACACAATAATTTCTGCAGTTGGGTTTAATTCTAACCATAAAAGGAATATGTGTTCTGTGCCAACTACTATTGAAAGCTAAATCTTGTCTTAACATGTCTGAGGATGACATTACAAGGTAAGTACAATAACTGGATGACTCAATCTATGTAGAACAAACCATGTTTCTGCCTATAGGGAAGAGTGCGGAAGAGGAGAGAGACGGTACTGCCAGACATTTTCCATGTGGTTGTTTGAACCATACAGAAATAGTTTGGCAACTCTGTGGTTTCATATCATGACGTCACCTGTACAGGTCACAAAATTGGTTTTAGTATCCCTGATTTAATTGGGGGATTTTAAAGTTGCTAATACCAAAGCACTGTCTTTTTAACTGAAAAATCTGATCAACCTTAGCGTTGCTCTACCCGGCTCTCTATTTGGAGCCGCATGTTAAAGAGAGAATCCATCTCTGTCTGCTTAGAAGCTCTCTGCACAGCTGCAGATTTATTTTCTCCCCCAAACAACATGTTTTGGGGAGCAAATATTACCTTCTGTACATATCCAGAAGGTTCATCATTTGGTTTCAACTAAATCTGAAACAAAGGAGAGGTAATGTGAGAGAAGATACAGCAGCATGATCCAAGGAGCGGTATGCAAATTTCTGGTGATCCAACTGGCCTGTAAAAATAGATGTGTTCCATGCACCAGAGGAGATAATGTGAGCTATATTCACAGAGAATTAGGGAGATAAATCAGAAGTGCTAAGAGCAAAGCTCAGAGACTGTGGAGCACAAGGCAGTCTTTAAGAAAGTACCATGACAACATTTTTCTGAAAGAATCCAAGATATCTAAGCGGATGTCAAAATCAAAGTTTCTTAGATATGAAATAGATGTTCTGAGAATGTATTTCAGAAATTCTTATCACAAATTATCAAAGGAATTGAGAAAGGTGATAAAAATGTGCTAGCTACCAGCCTGAACTACTTCTGATGTCTTAACTACTTAGCATCTGTCAAAGAAAGCAATGAACCTTGTTATAGCCAGTGCAAACTAGAGATGAATAATAGTCAGAAATTTGATATCCAAAAATCTTATATAGATTTGCCAATAACTCAACAGATTGCCAGAGAGAGATTGTTATGGAAAATCAAGTTACTTATTTTCAGAGAGAGAGCAAAATGTGATTAAAAAAAAAATAAAGGACATAGATACTGGATCATTAATGACATACCTGCAGCTCCTGCTGCATGAAAGTCATGATTTAGTCCTAACACCTCCTCTTTCACTGTATGCAGCGATCACATGCAGTCTGTGAGAATATCTCAAACATCACAACCGGTCCAAGTTTTGCTTTCAAAATTTCTGTCATAAAAAAGCACAATGCACATTTGTATTTTCACTGTTCTCAAGCAATAAACTGCACCGTCACCCATGTAAAAGGCCAATGTAACATCGAAAATGTGTCAGCTAAGCAGTAGCAGACAAACAAAATACCTCTCCCTGTATGGCATAAATTGATTGTTGGCAATCTCAGGAAATGAAAACAATGATTAAGTGAGATGTGAAGAATGACCTTATGCTTTGCTTTTTATAACATGTTGGGAAGATAGCACGGGCAAAATTCCACTGATGCTGATCATGTCCTACATCTTTAGTAACAGAAGATTTGGCATTTTCTGCAGGACTGATATTTAAATACAAATTAATGATGACTCTAGAATTAGAAAAATTGAAAGACCTGTTTCCACGAAATGAAAATCATGCTAATTGTAAATGTGTCATTTAGTGGTTATGCTGGCAATACATAACACTTATTTCTGCAATTCAGTCAACTTCTTTGTCAGAACAAAAAATGAATTCAGAGTTGTCCTTATTGCAGGTACTAGTCCATGATGGGATTACCTAGCCCCTGTAAACCAGAAGGTAGGCTTTATCTGCAAAGAAGAAAGTGAGGGAAGAGGTGAAGAAGGAAAAAAAGAAAGAGAACACAGGATGTTGGAGGCTCCATGGTTACTTAAGAGCAAGAGACTCTGAAGCCAGTAGCTCTGATCCTTTCCCTACACACTGTTTACGTAGGCATTTTCAGTGACTTAGTATTTTAAGAACTGTGACACACCAACGCTTGAGTCTATTTTCCATATCAGATAGCGTAAGTCAACCTGCTAAAGTTATTCCCCAAGGGCCAAACTCTGTCCTGTTGCATCACTAAAAGTCTGCTGTAGTCTGCATGCTGGTGTTAACGAAAGGGGGGTAGAGCTCAGAAAACACAAAGGCTTTCCATTTTTTCTCTTTTTTTAAGCTGATGCTGAAGACTGCCTGGAATCTGAGAACTGTCTGTGTTTAGGCCACATCCTGCAAAACACTAAAGCATAACTTCATGATTTTAATTTGTGAACAACAGGATTAGAAACAAGTGTTTTGTGGGATTAAGGTCTTTAGTTAGGTTTTAATAATCTATAATCATATTTTTGTGGTATTTTAATAATATCAACTCTTAATATTTAGCATAAATCTTCAATATTTGAGATTTTTTATTAAAGCACCTTTTATTAAGCAAGCTTTCAGTAGCTGTTTAAAGCCTTCAAACAAGTTTGAAAATAGGTCCTAAGAATGTCATAAGTATATCTTTAAAGATCAGAAATCATCAAGCATCATAAAAAAAAATATAAAAATCTCTATTTTAATGTCACGGTTATAAAGACAAGTATTATGCTCATAGTACTGTGTATTTCCAACAACAACAACAACAAAAAAAGAAATAAAAAAAAAAGCTAGGTCTGTCAGTTGCCTATGGACTTAAATAACACTTTGTATTTATATTTTTCCTTATTTACCCATTGTATTATTTCTTACAAGTGTAAATCCCACAATTTTATATGCGCACCAGTACTGTACAGAGGGATAGAAATGAAACTACTCAACACCAGAAAATAAAACAGAAGAGAATGCAGATTGTATGGGTCATTTTCTCTCCCTCAAGTGACTGTGAACTACTGGAATACGTGTTTCCACTATGCCCACTGCATGTCAAGCAGAGAATGAAGAGTGCTGTACTGAAATTAAAATCCTCTCTGTAATATGCTTCTACCTCAAAAAACAAGCACAAAAACACTAAAAATGAGTATCAATTAGTTTCCCCCTTCTCTTTTGCAGTGAGTTGGTGAGGACAAAAGGCGAGAGCACAACGTATCTGGTTTTCATCCCTTTTCTTAAGGAAGGATGTGGAAATAATAAAGTTCAAAGGAGGGCCACAGAAATGATCCAGGTCCTGGAAAACAAGCATTACTGATGTAAGGCTTAAGGAGCTTATCTTACTTAGCTTAATTGAAAAGAAGGTTAAGAGGTGACTTGATCACTGTGTGTATCTACACACACCTTTAAAAAGCACCTGATAGTGAATGGCTTTGCAACTGTACTGACAAAAGCAGAACAAGATTTACTGCCTTGCAGAGTTGGCAGGCGAGTTTTCGAACGACCACAATCACACGATTACCCCAGTGCTGAGGAGAACTGGGCAGTGGAACAGTGTACCAAACGGTGAACTTGCCAATCACCTGAAATATTCACAATTAGTTATCTGCTTAAAAGGCACTGTTTTGTCCAGCTTCTGGGCTAAATCGTGTGGTCTGTGAACGCAAGGAGATTGATTGGACTGGATGATTTTTGAAGCCCTTTGTGATCTCAAATCATGTGAATCTATTAGTTTTCCTGCTTGTCCTTTAATTCATGGATGTCATAAGGACAATGACATTGCCAGCAGCTGCAATCAATAGGCTCGTAACACTTGCAGCTTTGTATTAACACAATTCAGATCTCTTGTTTCAGAGCATCATCTGTTCAGCTATGGAGCTGAGCAAGATTTATGCTGGCCTCACCCTTTAACATGTGTTCCTAGGACGATTTCCCTTCTTCTTAAGCACCGAAGAGTGGCTAAAAATGAAGGGGTGGCGCAGGATGGGATGATAGAGCACAAGAAGTGGCAGGCCAACTCATCTTTTTTGATGTCTGGCTAATCTTCCCACTTTGTATGATTAAGGTCAAACTGATTACCCGGTTATTTTTCTTCAGGCAGATTATTGTAGGGAGGCTTTATTCTTCCCAGGAGCACAGGGCATGGTTTCCAAGCTGGGCTCATTGGGGTATTCTCCCTAGGGGATATTATCAGCACCCCCGGATGATTGTTTTATAACCTGTGAGGTGAATTTTCTGTAGGACCGAAGTGTTTAACTGTGATGATATGAGGAAAACATATTGTCATGCAATATCCGCGCGAGGGAACAAAGCAACTTTTGTTCACCTCAGCTTTGGGTACGGCCAACTCCAACGGGGCCGCGCCAACCATCACCTGTCCTGCTGCCAACTTCCCGCAGAGGTTCCTCGGCGTTAATTACCCTGTTTAATCACAGCCAGCTGTTACAACAGCCAGACGATCGGTGGCAGTTCCTAGCAGGGGGGGCTCCCCACCCTACAGCAGCTCTACCTGCCTGGGGCCGGCGGGGGGGCTCGGGGAGCACCTGAGGCAACCACGGAGGAGGAGGAGAAGGTGAAGAAGAAGGAGGAGAAGAAGGAGGAGAAGGAGGCGCTCGTCTCCTGCCACTGGGGCTCTCCCAGCGCCGGGGAGCCGCGGGAGGAGTTACCTGGGCGAGCTGTGGAGGCCATTTCCCGGGGAGAAACGCGCCCGGGGGTGAGTGAGGGGGGTGCGGGTGGCTGGGTAGGAGCGAGGAGCGCTGCGGGGGTCGCCCTTTGGCCGCCCACCGCGCTGAGGGGAGCGGCCCCGGGCCGGCGGTGGCCGCCTGTTGCCGCGGTAGCCGGGGCCGCTGCCCCATCTCCCCCCCCCCCCCCCCGGCCCTGGCTCCTTCCCCGCCTCGCCGGCCGCTCGGGGCGGCGCCGTCCCTGAGGAGAGCGGGGGATGGAGGCGCCATGCCCGCGCCTCAGCACGGGCAGCCCCGGGCTCTTCCCCCCTGTTTTTTCCCTCCCAGTCTGTCCTTTCCATCAGGCCCCGGGGCAGGGGGAAGGCTCCTGTAGGGTTTATGTTCCCCCTCTAGTCCCAAAGCCCAGCGGTCGCGGCGTTTCCCGGCGCTGAGGAGATGGCAGCGCCTCTCCCCTCAGGCGCTGAGCGAAGGGGAAAGTCCCTTCTTCGGGTCCCGGCCCTCCCACGGTGTTTGCAGGCTCTGTGGAGATGGCGGTCCCTCTCCTGTCAGGCACTGAGCGGGGGGGTGTCCCTTTTCCCCCCTCCGGCATTGCCAGGCCCTAAGGAGATGGCAGGGTGGCTCTCCCCGTGGTGCCAGGGTCTGTTTTGGGGTGTTCCCAACCCCTTTCTCAATCCCTGGGGAGCAGCCAAGGGCCGGTCCCTGGACCCTCACCTTACTCTGAGCTACCCTGAGGGGCTTGGGCCTGCTGCGGCCCCAAGGCGTGTGTGAGGGGTGGGAAGCGGCGTGTCCTTGGTGTCAGAGCCCATTTTAGTGCTGATTCAATACAGGAGTATGGTCATGTCATGGGATATTCCTGTGATGAGCCTCCCCGAGGATGTTAGACACATCTACACCTGAGCAAAAAGCATCAGGTGCGACTGCTGTTCGCGTTTCAGGCATCACGTGTTGGGTGTTTTTGTTCCTGAAGAATGCTTCCTGCAAATTAACCACACAGCCGCTGTGTTTTTAATTCTAACCCAGGCATAACTTTTGTTTGTTTGCTTTTCGTCTTGTTCATCTTCCAGAGGAAAGCAAATGTTCAATGCAGCGTCAAGCTTGTGACATGCAAGCACGGATGGAACTACACATGTTCCTAAAGTCAGGTGCATGTTATTATTTTGCAATCTAGAAAGGAATTTTATTAATATTTTGATATGCTTAAGCTCTAGTGACAGCAACACAACTTCTCCAGTGTTTCTATACGTGTTACAGCATATGCACCAGAGATTGCTCTGGGACTCTGCCTGGCACATTCCAACAACTTTGTGTTTCTGTCCTACTAACAAGGACAAAAAGAGTAAATGGACAAAACAGACACTAGCAAAGAAGAATTATATTTAAAGCCTTTACTTTGCCCTTAGTTCACCCTCACTGTTCTTAATATTGTCAGGTTTCCAGAGCTCAGTGGTATCTCTTAATTTGGAATTTCCTTGTTTGTTGAGGTCAGGCTGTGAGGATTATTCTAATGATTTTCTTACTGTTCATGCAGTCTCTTATTGCAAACAGGAAAAAAAAAAAACTTCAAAATGTTGGAAACTATTAATTAGAAAGACAGTGAATATTGCCCAAGAGTATCATGTTTCAGAGTAACAGAAATACCTTACTTGTGTCAGCATAGCCGTGGCTATTTCTTACACTTAATGGGATCCTTATTCTGGTTTTGGTGCCTGTGCTGCATGTGAAACATATGAAAGTAAAGCAGTCATTGCCCTGAAGAAGTTAAAGACAGAACCTCACGAGGATCTCGACCAGCTATTGTAATATAACCTAAATAAGGGGTGTAACCTTGTTCGGCATTTCTGTAGATCCCATGTGACATGTAGTAATATGATTAAATCCCCAAATACTGTTGTAAATCTGGCCCGTAATCTATAGTGCACAAGCAGCAGGGATCTGGAAGCAACATCTGCTCAGAGTGCATATGAACTACATCTTAATATATTATGGTACTGAGTCAGGGCCCCACTCTTTTTTTTTTTTTTTTTAATTTATTTTTTTTCCCACTGAAATCAGACTGGCTTTAGTAATGGTTTAAGCAATGACAGACTCAGATCCATCGTGGATGTCGAACTGACCATTTAAGCATTAATTCAGCATGTTTGGCTTTTTTAAAATTGAATCTTCAGATGCTTTTTTCCTTTTTTCATTTGACCTTACCTTCCCCTTACTGTCTGTATTGTTTCAGGAATGATTTTTTTCAATGCTGACTTTCTTGCTAATATAGCAGTTGTGCTGGGCAAATGACAAAGGCAAAGAGCTAGCAGAAGATGAAAGCCAACTGGTGTTAGCCATATGATTTAAAGTTGCATTTTCTTTATGTAAACAACATGCCTGAGGTTGCTGCTTCAGCTTGCTTTATCCCACCAATGAATCTCTGGATTTACATGTCAGTCTGTGTTCTGCATTATATCTTTTTTTCCGTTTCTTTTTTTTTGGTATGTGTGTGATTCATTATAGTTTAGCATCATAAAAAGAATCTCTGGTGTACAACACATACAAGTCAGAGATACCATTATAAAATTGCTGTCCTGCAGTTCATGTAATCAGGGATATGCCCTGCGAGGAAGCTTTAGCTTCCCTAAGATGCTTTTAGAATTCTTGTGTGGCAACATTTCTCCTGCATGCCCCTGAGTGAGTGGTATCAAGTGATTTTTCAAAGCCTGGGTTTCTTGTTTTATGCAGTTTTATTTTAGGAATAAATACTGCAAAATCCAGCTCAGGGCTATGAAAATGGGAAGGTCTGAGCCTTATTGGCCCCTGTGGAGTGACATGTATTTAACATGTCATATCAGGATAACGGTTGTGAGACTCATGACCTTGTCTGCAAGGGTGTCCTAAACAAACAGTCGGCAGCACCTCACAAACAGTTATAATCTTTGATTGTAAAGAGTTATCAAAGCAGTATAAAATCTTTCAGAATAGCAACAAACCTCACCTGGCTCACTGAAGACTTACACTTGAGTTCAGATGGTTCCTGAAATTGAGTAGTCAGAGTAGTGTGTTTTTTTTTTCCCCCCCCCCAAAAAAAATTACAGTGTGGCCACGACAGGAACTTGAACAAAGCTGAAAACAGTGGTATTTGGGAAAACCAGAATATCGTGCTTTTTGCAGGCCTGCAGACTGCCTAGGGGGGAAATCTGTTAAGAGCTAGACCTTCACATGGAGATCTGGTTCCTCCCCCCGCCACCATCTGGGAATTGATTATATTCTTAGAGGATCGTGAGTTGTTTGTTGTGTTCTAAAGATGGATCCTCTTGCATGAAACTGAAGTACAGATACATGTGAGAATAGACTGACTTCAGAAACAATGAAAATGAATGCTAAATTGAACAGTAACGCTTTGGTGTAAGACACTTTTTGTTCTGCTGACTAAACAAAACTGCATCTTGGTGGTTTCACTGTGCTACGCTTAAAAGTCAGAAACAAAGCAAAGAAAGAACAATCAGAATACAAGGCGCAGTCTTTAGAAACACATTTCATGTAGATCTCAAAATTCAGTAGCTCGAGTACTGATTCACTTAAATTACATTATTGCAACAGTTTTTGTTCATTTTGATGAATAAATTAATGAAATGTTATCTAATTAAAATGTGGAAGTAGTCAGGAGGACAAAAGTATAGGTAGAAGAAGGGATGCTACAAGTTAATAGACAATAGCTCCATCAGTTACTACTGAATAATACAATGGTCTTAATGTGCCACTCAGCTCAGGAAACCTAACTGGGTGTTGCCAGAAGCGAGGGTGGCAGATGAGGGGGAGAATCTTTCTGCACGCTGTAGGATCTCTGCTTTCTGCAGATGTCAGAAGCTTTTGCTGCTGGCCATAGACAGGACAGCGGGCTAGGTGTGTGTGCAGAAGCCCCTCAGAGAAGCTGAAGTCGTCATAAACAGTGTTTATTTGCCACCTCTGTATCCCTTTAGCATGCTAAATGCCATTTCCCTTAGTCTGATAACACAACTCTAGTATAGCAGGATCGAAGAAGTGGTTTTTTTGTTTTTTGTTTTTTTTTTTTTGTAATTTACAGCCAAAAAATGTATGTGCTTCAATTTAAATGGGTGACATCTGGCAGGTCGGAGTTACGCAGCTGGAGGAACTCCAGCATTCTCGGACTCCTAGATATGGGCTAGTAATTGCCTCCGGTCTGAAACTATTTTTTACCAGGCAAAGCACATAATTTGGTGCTGTTTATTATAAGCTATATTTTACTTGAAAACCACAACAATCCTTTGTCCTCTGAGGAATGTGAAGTTGCATTTGGGCCCTTTTGATGGGGTTTTCTGTTTTACCCTCTGTTCTTGGATTTGCCATGCAGGTTACTGTCTATTTTGTGAAGATGGGCTGGCCCCAAGCACCCAACGGCCCATATTTGTGTAAACCCGACATGGGATGAGGAATCCAGCTCAGACCTTCAGTCTGTCCTCTGGTTAAAGAAAAAAATATCTCTGGTCAGCCCTCTGTAAGTAGCTATTACAACTGGAAACTGAAATGCAGAACCATCTCTACTTCTTCCATCCTCACTTGCCCTCATAGGGGTCAGATGGGAAGCAGGATTTCTTCAAAGGCCGTTTGCATCTCTATGCTGTTTGCTGTGATGAGAATCATTGATGCAAAGAAATACTGCTGTATAGGTCAGGACTTGAGCCTGGTGGGTACAGCAAGGCCCCATCAAGGAATTAAGGATGCTGATGGTGCAAGACCAAAGTGAACTTTTTTTTTCTAAGGCCGTAAGTTATGAATTACATATTCAGGATGTATATTTGAATGGCCTTGTTACCCTGCTCTGATTACTGGCAGATGCTCTACAGCTAATGGTGTCATTTCTGTTACTACATCAGTTGTTAACTGGGCCAGAAAACAGCCTTTAAGATTAAAGTTTAATCAATCCAAGTATTTGGAGAGCGAGCAAGTATAGCCTTTATTCTTCTCGAGAATTATGGTCTACTTCTTTGAAATCCCTGGCAGAGATAGAATGTTCTGTCAGAAAATGTCTCCAGTGAGAAATTGCAGGCAAAGAATATTTTCTGTGGGATGGCATGAGCAACCTTGTACTTTAAAGCTTGTATATTAATTGCTTGTTAATGGGCAGCTTTTGGCAGAATTTCTTTCTGCTATGGCCTCAAGAATTTTAATGGAGCATCAGTCAGTGCGTGGAGAAAATATACTTTAAAAACAATAAGCAGGGCTCTCGGTGGTTGTGTCAGTAGGTGACATTGGCTAAATCAGTCATGTTCTACTTCTGGTCAGTTGTAAGCTCTGCGATAACTTCATTAGCAGGAGGAAGACGCGTTAAATCATTCCAACTCCGGCGCAGTATGTTTTTTTTTTGGAGCCCCCCTCCCCTGGCACCGGTGTTTTCAGAAGGGTTCCAAGTGTCAGACAGGAACGCTAAAGCCCCTGCAGATATTATGTTAAGGAGTGCATTTTTATGTGGCATGTTCAAAGGCTTCTGAAAGTGATTCCCCAAATGTTTTCAAGCTCGCTGAACGTTTCGTATGCGATGTTTTCACAAGCAGGGAGGCTCTTACAAGCATGAGCCTAATAGGTACACCAGCAGATATTTCCATATGTGTAAATATGCACACAATGTCCTCTGGGGATAAGAGAGGTCTGGTTTTCCTCTGCTCATGAAAAAAACCAGTGCTGCTGAGGTGATTGAGCCTCTCAATTTTCATTCCTATGCTTCCTCTTTTGGTGGTCATTAGTTGAAATTTCCCATAAATAGGGTGTATTTCCCAGAAAAGGGGTATTCTTCCCAGCAAAGAAGGAAAAGACCTGTTTAACAACATAAAATTAAAACAGCCAAAGGTAACGTGAAAACAATCCGGTGGGAAAACTGCAAAGTGCAGGAAGAGCCTTCAGCTTACACAGAGCGCGGTCCTCGGTTTGAGAAGAGGAGTGCTGTGCACCCAAAAGGTTTTGTGTACCCCGGTCGGTCCTTGTGGTGTCACCTCTCTTGTTCCTGGTCACCAGGTTTGACAGGAGGAAGGGGAATTCTGAATTGCCTAATCCTAACCCTGAACTGCCCCTCCTTGAATGAGTTTTGCATTCCACCTGGCACACTGGCTGCAGTGTTGGCAGCCTGGTAACTGAAAGGGAAGGGCATGCAGCATGCTCTCCTTTGCCATTCCCCTCCTAGCTTGCTGAGCA